TATTAGTCAGGTCTACAAAAACATACTAATCTACCCTACTCTAAAATTTTCCTATATGATGCTCAGTTCTTATATTATGTTCATTCAAATTTAGCTGTCATCATCACGATACAGAAATGAACCCATAGAGGTTTTCGTTAAGTTAATTACCACACACGCATTTTAACAACGATTTGTGTGTGCCGTTGAATATCGGATATTGGGTATTACGGACGCACACCCTTTATGGCAAGCTTCCAGTCGACTGACGCGTTTTAGGGTTAAATCCATCGTAAAAGAAAAGCATCTTGGCTTAAAGAGAATTTAATGTGAAAGGCTACACATTATTGTGTTACATGACTCGGGAATATGAAGTCGAATTATATTGCTATTCAGGTTTATATTTTAATAAAAATCAAAGGAAAAAAAACTTTTTTTATTGCCCTCAGGCAGACGAGCACACGGCCCACCTGATGGTGAGTGGTTACCGTCGCCCATGGACTTCAGCAATGCCAGGGGCAGAGCCAAGCCGCTGCCTACCGCCAAAATCACTTCTATCCTACGATTTTTTGGAAGATACTAATTTAGAAACTTTATTCAGAAGAATAAAAAAAACCTACATTAACAAATGTAAAATTCTATATACCACGAGCACGAATTGGTTTTCTCTCCATTGACGAAGAAAATTCATATTAAGCACCTATCCGAAATATAAAAAGGTAGCATAAATATAGGCTCAGGTTCGAGGATTATCAAGTTCACCTCAACCATCAGTTCCGTTTTGAGAGGGAAAAATTACTGTTGTTTTAACTCGATAAAAACTTGGACCTCATATTTTAAGGTGACAAACAATTTAACATTTCTATAAAAGCATAAATTTGTATAACTTAGTGAGATATTTTGCATGAATGACCAATGAAAGGTGAAGATAGCTGATGCTCGGTCTTCGTTGTCTTTATCAAGTCATACACGCTTGTCATCTATGTTTAGTTACAGCCTATAAAGATAAGTTCTTTGCTTTCTAAGATAATGGAGCGAATAATAAATACGCAACTCCTAAAGTATCTTAAGGATCGCACGGTAGCACAGCTGGTGATTTGCTTGTATACCTTACTCATAGGGGGGCTGAAGCCTTGGAGAACAAAGGCGCGGCTCTCGCTGTGAGCCTTGATGTCGCAAATGCCTTCGACAGGGTTTGGCATAGGGCACTTCTGTCGAAGTTGCCAGCTTATGGAATCCCCGAGAGGCTCTGCAAGTGGATCGCTAGCTTTTTGGATGGGCGGAGCAACAAAGTCGTTGTAAATGGCTGCTGCCCTGATTACAATACTATTAACACTATCGTTCCACAAACATCGGTGATTTCCCCCAGGCTTTTCATTCTGTATATCAATGATAATTGATGGCACGCATTGCTCTGCGGAAGTTGGGTGATATATCAATCATCAAAGTTTATCTCGGAGTACAGGGCAGGAGAAAAGATTAAAATGGTGTCTGAACTGGAGAATTCCCTGGATCGAGTCTCCGAGTGGGGTGAATTGAATTTAGTTTAATTTGATATGTCAACGACATGCCATTCTTCAGACAAGACTTGCAGAGAGTACTTAGTGGCAGACAGTGGCTTGGCTCTGCCCCTGACATTGCGGACTCAATCAGCAACGGTAACAGATTAATCTCCCGTTGGTTACTTTTACTACATTATTCCATTTGGAATAATACTTTGCAGTTTACGTGTACACGGAAGTGACCACGTTATTCATGGCCGCGGTTTGTTGTAACGTCACAAATAGCTTATCGACAGTAATAACTGCGAGATGAAGCCGTTAAAAATCCTGGAAACAATAACATTTAGCAAAACCAAATAAAGCACTATTAAACAGTCGGATCGTTTATTTCTAACTATTATTCCAGTCTTTTCTAAGTTTACGCTTCATTGCAGATCAATTAGTCGTTGGTCAAATCAGAGGAACTTTAAAATCCCTCAATACACCGCCGGAGTAATCCTGCTGAGTAATCCTTCTCTTCATTATTGAACACGATAACCACATTTGCATAAAATCTACAAACATAACATAAACTATTAAAATGAAACTAACAAAACATAACATCTATATCTATACTAATATATAAATCTACGGTGGTTTTTACGGATGTTCCGTTATAACTACTGAACCATACACCCGATTGACTTGAAACTTTGTATCCATGTAGAAAATACATGTAGTTAATGAATAGGCTAATATTTATATGAGTGTTGGACTCCCCCTACACCAGTTGCGGGGGCGGTAATGATGAGAATCTTTGTGGGGGTGAGAAATAATAATGTTAATTTTAAATGTCCAGCGAAGCGGACAGGTACAGCTAGTAACTAATAAAAACGAAATCACCAACATCCAACTACAATTTATTTATTAACACAAACGAGTGCTTGAACAGAAACCCAAAAAGACTAGGTTCAACACATTACGAAAAAAAATTTATCTTCATGTACCTAAAAGTCGACCGTCTTTTCACATCAAAAAGACAAATTCCTTTCCATTTCTGTACATTTTTAGCTTAATCGTCCGTCCGGAATCACATTTGTAGTTATGAAATAGCTCAGCAAAGCAACTCGGCTGGAAACATATTATTATATCGTTGGTATAATTTGAAAAGGACTGGTACCCTTACTTGACTGGGGGTCGACATTGTCACATAAATCGCAACTTTATATGCCTGTTTACTGTGTTTACACAAATTTTCTTGTCACTCTGAGGTTTTAAACGATGGAATTTATAGTTACCGTGAGAGGTTTTTGGTATTAAAAGCAATTTATAATGTAACGCAAAGGACGGATTTCTAATTTTAAATATATTTCATGACTCTGCGGCTAGTAGTTAGTGCCGAGGATCGTGAGTTGGATTCCCATATCTAGGAAACATTGGTGTGATAAATTTGTTTGCTCTTTTTCTGGATATTTATGATCTATATAATAATAAGGACGCAGGATGGATGAAATGACGGCAGGTCACGGGCACCACATGTGACTCACACATTTCTCTTCCCGTAAAAGGGAAGATATATAAGACCTTAATATGGCCTGCCGTCTTGTATGGATCAGCTTGTTGGATGACTAAAGTGGCGGATGAAAGACGATTGCATACAGTTGAGATGCGAATGTTGCGATGGATGTGTGGATTAACGAGAATGGATAGAATACGGAATGGATATGTTAGAGGAAGTCTGAAAGTGGCACCTGTGACAGAGAATCTGAGAAGTTTGCGTTTGGGATGGTATGGAGATGTGATGAGACGACATGAAAATGAGGTCGATAAGAGAGTGCTAACTATTAATGTGGAAGGATATAGAGGAAGAGGTAGACCTAAGAAGAAATGGGTGAATTACATGAAATACGATATAGGTTCTTACCCATATCGTATTTGAGGGAAGTGAGCGAAAAAATGGTATATGATAGAAGAGTATGGAAGGAGAAAACATGTTGCGCTGACCCCATGTGGCTTGTAGAAGGGCAGGAGAATGATGAAGTATGTATATCAGTCTTTGCTACCTACAACAAAGGGGAATCCTAATTATTTTGCGACCGGTTCACCACCTGTGATTGTTCTCAGTTTTTTCTTATTATTATTCAAACAGACGCGAAGATAATTTGTATTTTCTCAGATACATATATGGTACAACAAAAAAATTACTACTAGCGATCAGACCGACAAACCATTTTTAGATGGTCTCATCCGTCTCAATAAATTTAATTAAGTTACTATTAAAAATAATATTGTCTTCCTTAAATTTATGTCACCTTTTAACGTGTATTTATGTCACCCTTAATACTTATTCCTAATTTCGAGCTATTTTCCTGTCGTGACCTCACCACGCCGTATTCTTTCTTACTTTAATTGTAAATGCACCTTCCTTATTTACATTTCCATTTCACAGATAATAATTAGTTCATATTTGTATTGTTTGTTTAAATATCTCACCCTTTTCTTGTGTAAAAGTGCTTATCGGAGATTTTCCTTCAGATTTTAACTGTCATTCACGCGATTCAAATCTATTTTCATATCGTAATTCTATTTTGAAACATTCAATGACGGAGTAAATAAATTGAATTTTTTAAAGACTATGATCGCTCACCGCATAACACCGTCCATTTGACAACTCCAACAAAATGAAATAATATATAATGCACAGATGATCATTTATAGTTTGGTTTTTTGTTCGTGTTCTATACATTTGCATATAGCTTTTGCGATTGAGTTAAAAAAAAATTTAACTGCCACTTCACTAATGGTTCTTAACATAATTCCTTCAGTGTGGATGGATTTTAACCACATTTTAACAAAAATGGATCACCATCTTCGTATAATTTTTTTTTCATCAAATCCATTCAATCACAAATTCAAACAATGTGAGTGGTGTATTTTCATAATATGGACGGTGAATTCTTGTTAAAAACAAGTGCGTAATGAAAATTCGTAAAAAGAGTTTTAATATAACTATTAATTACAAATATGGATTTGTTTATTTAGCATCATAATTTTGGCATAAATTAGATAGTGATCAAGTTATTAGTGATCCGGTTCAGGTGAAAGCCTGGAATTGAAATCCATGACTCCATCGCGACAGAAATATGGTACATTCTTTGTTGATGTGGGATTTTAACCACTACACAACACTTCGGAGCCCAGACGTATTGGTTCAAATGCCCTGCTATTTCAACCGTCATATTATTAAAGGATTGAGTCGCAGAACTCACGCCTCAAGGTGGGTGGCGGCGTTCGCGTTGTGAAGGGCAGGGACACGATTGATACTTCTAAAAAAATTACAAACATTTTATATTATGTATTCACCGGTTGATCACTTGCTGAATTTCTCTCTATCGCATTTTTGTTCCTACACACTTTGTCCCTTTTATAGTCTTTGGAAACATAGTATGTATAAACAATGTGTTAGAAATCAATCTTGTTTAAAGTAATAAAAAAATCACATTTTAGTAATCCATACTAAATTCAATGATCTTGTTCCAGTGGTAAAAAGCAGTATGCGACACCAGACTACATCTCCACTAGGCCGGGTGGGACCCACTGCGTCCCTGCGAGACTCCGAGCCCGACTTTGCTGGACCAATAGAAAACGTTACAGTAGCTCTCGGCAGGGAAGCCATACTCACCTGCTCAGTCACCGACCTTGGAGACTACAAGGTACGTAGAATAAAGCCGAAGGGACCATAAATAACTGAAATCACCCGCCTAACGTCGGTTTGGGTTTACCCAAAATCCCTTCTAAGAGTATTATGCTTTTGCAGATGAAAATTTTGCTAGAATAATGCCACACGGGCCTTTGTCGTGAGACGCTGAGACGTTTTCTTACTTTAGTCAAGACGCAAAAACAATATTTGTCCCGTCCCAGTCCATTCTCCGGTAAATTACTTTTGTTCGAACAAAACTTGTGTTATTACGACTGAGTGTCCGAAAAGCAGAATAAAATTTCATCGGATAGTGAGATAGAAGAAAAAAAATATATTCATTTTTGTACACGTAAAAAACACAGGAGAAAGGCCGATGTTCGGAAAGCCCCTTTTCATATCTGTGAACAACATGTCGTGTTACAATAATCTTGAAAGTTGAATATCCCTAGGGATTTATTTTTGTTGAGTTTACCTAAACTATCTGCCCGGAGCAGGACGGATTAAAACCTGACTTTGTTTAAATTAAGCATTAACAAAATTTCGTGTGATCCCCGGGACCGTATTTTATATTCGTTCCTCGAGATAATAAGATACTTTTGAGGAGCTTAGCGAAGTTTGTCTTCCTTAAGAGCGTGATTCCGAGACGTTATCGGGCTTCGCTTGGCAACCGGAGATTCCGTGCACTAACTTTAAGGTCTTTTAAGGTTTAAACATGACAGTTGAAGTTCAGTGAAATATGATCAAATGCAACACTAACTGATATAATATTTGAATGATTCGAATTTCGTGAGTCGGTGTAAAATTCCGGTTGATTATTCGAAAGGAAAGGGTGCGTGTACTTATGTACGCGCGTAAGAAGTTATACTTTATTTTTATTAAAATATTTCTTTTTTGGAGTTTACTCCTTTAGAATCGATTTACATATATAGGCCCGGGGTATGAAAATTATGGGGACCAAAATCGTACTAGCATGTCACACGAAATGCGTTATGCGCCTGATTGCGCATGTCACACGAAATGCGTCATCGCAGGTGACGCCGGGCTGCTGCGCCGGCAGTCCGCCACAAAGCCTCGTACTGATCGCGCGTTTCTCTCATTATTGTATTTTCATATATTTGTTAGTCGTTTGTTTTGTGTCTCGTTAATTTGTTAATAATCTGTAGTGTATCGTGTTGTCGTAATATAGAACTATTTCTCGTATTGTTTCGTTTAATTTTTTATATCCAGTAAACTCCAGTCGTGCGTCGGAGCGGACACACACACTTTTTTTTTTATTAAAATTTTAATCAATTAGAAAAAAAATCGATTAAACAACATCCTCAAACACGCGTATTGGACATTCCTTTTCTTGAAATCGTATAAATTCGGTAATTCTCGGTACGGTTCGGAAAGTTCACCTGAATATAGATTCAGACTCGCCAAGTTACGTCGGTCGTATTGTAATGAGCAATTTAGTGGGCAACTTCGTTTCTGTTAATTTTGTGTCACGGTGCGCGCGCATCGTAAAATTTCACTCTCATCAATTTTTCATAACGCGAAGAAGTAAAACTTCAATAAAAATGTTTGTTGTTAAGGAAATCCTAAATATCTATAACGGAACAGCCCGTTCTTGGGATGAGAAAATTAATGATTTTTCCATACAAAGCACTCGAGCAACGTCTATCTGTTTGAATTCTCTATTCATGTGTTTTTTGCTCCGTAGTAGAGTGGTCCGTAAATAACCCTCATTTATCGGGGATCCATTTAGTGTCCTCCTTCATGACAAACGAGCTTCTTTCCTTTTCGAAGAGATCGATCACCCGTAATGACATTTATTTAAACTCTGTTTTACCGTATGAGGCGCATGACTTGACTAGAATAACAACAGTAGTCCAGTCGTAGCCCGTGATGTGAGCGCCAAATTTTTTTTATTTCCCAAAGGACTTTTCGTGCAGTGCGTCTTTAAAGTTTTCGATAGATAACTTTATTTTTGACGTTTGATATTTATAGTAAACAAACATGTTTTAAAAGCGTTGGAAGTGTTAACATAGACATTCGTTATGGAAAATTTATAGTAATAAGACTAAAGTACAAATAAAACTATGAATTTTTTAATTTTTATTGAACAATCTTGAATGTGGCTTAAACATTTTGTTCTATTAAGCTAAAATCTACAGCTACATATATATGTATAATAGATATATTTACATGTGACAATTTATTCTGAAAGCAAACCAATTAGAAATACACATTCAACTTAAGATTACAGGCGAATTTCTAGGAGCACAAAAACAGAATGGTTTTAAAAATAGTTAAAAAGTGAGACCTTAGAACTTATATCTCTCAAGGTGGCTGGCGGCATTTAGGTTCTAGATGTCTATGGGCTCCGGTAACCACTTAACATCAGGTGGGCCATGAGCTCGTTCAACCATATAAGCAATAAAAAAAGAAAAAAAACGTTCTTGTCTGTGTGGACTTATGAAAGAAAAAAAAAGAAAAAAATATATGCTGCACAAATTCGAACAGAACTGTCGGCAGATACTGCGAGCCAGTACAAAATATTGGTTTCATTAGCATTTACCGTATTTGGTATCGTCCTAGTATTCATTACGATAATGGATGCCGAAATGTAAATGTATACGGCTCGAGAATCATCGAAGAAACATCGCACAAAAGAATTTTCTTTGGCCTCTCCCCGTTTTTAATCTTACTCACTGATCTCGCGTTATCCAACTTTCGTCATTTTTTTTCCGTTCCGGACGTCACAACGTCGAGATATTTCGTAGCCATTCATCCAGATCATCAGTTTGGTGTGAATCTTGAGGATGAACAAACAACGTTTCCATTTTGTCGCATATTAAAGAGATGCATGACGTTTTCGTGATAAAAAAAACGGTTTGTCCCAACACCTACCAACATACCTAATGATGGATCTGTCAATACTTTTAATTCGTCACACACAATGTATTATGGTAGCATATTTAAGCACAAAATAAAGTCGTATATTATATCTAACTCAGTTACGAATTTTCGTCCCCGATATAAATCTGAAACTTTGTTCTCACCTTTTTGTTCGGGTTACTGTTGATCAGCACGTAAAGTCCAACTCCCAAGGGTGTTTTGGAGTACCGGGGAACTCCATTACACAATTGTCATTATGAAACGTTTCAATATTCGTAACTTCTAAAATTAATGAGTATTGCATGTCCAAAGTGTTTTTGTTTTTGTAATTTCGAAGAAATTAGTGAAACTAGAGGTCCCGCAGTAGTCGAAACTTTTGTTCGACTATAATTAATTGGAATTGTAAGTTTGTACACTATTATGATTGTATTTTATACTTTAAGACTACACTATAAAAAATATTAACAAAGACAAACAATATTTAATCTATTCTCAATTTGACAACAGACGTCAAGAACAAAAGTTTGACAATAAATAGTATGCATGCGTGTGTGCGTCAAATACATGGTATGTAGTGTGTGTAATGTTTTCTTTATTGATTCAATGTATATTTTATGCATTATTTTAAAATAATATTAGCATTGTGCACTTCTTCTCTATATTCTCTATAAGTGTCGAAAATTTCATACTCCTCCGTCCGCGCAATTTTCGTAAAAAGGGATACAAAGTTTTTGCTTCACGGATTAATTAGTGAAATGTGACGTTTATCACATTTGCTTTACTCGTAATAAGAGAAATCACAGATTTCAGTGCAATTACGAGCGTTAAATATAGCTGATCCTAACCTTTTTAAGGATGGCTAACCTTAGTGTAATAACTTAAAAGCCCTATGTCAATATAATATCAATTTTTGTATAAAAGTATCCAACATTCTACTGCTAAAGACTAGTTTAAAGAACACAATCTCTATCTATATATAAAAATGAATTGCTGTTCGTTAGTCTCGCTAAAACTCGAGAACGGCTGGACCGATTTGGCTAATTTTGGTCTTGAATTAGTTGTGGAAGTCCAGAGAAGGTTTAAAAGGTAGATTTATATGAAAATGCTCGGAATTAAATAAAAATAATTTTGTTTTTCCTTTGACGTGTCCCTCGTCGGACGGATTCCTTTTGTTTGCAGTACGAAGTCTGCTGGGTCAGCTAGTAACAAATAAAAAGGCACTTATATTATAACATTAAAGAAAACGTAATTATAATAAATCAATGGTGGTAGGGAACGATGTGAGTATAAAAGAGAAGGTTTTTTTTTTTTTTTTTATTGCCCTTGTAGGCAGACGAGCATACGGCCCACCTAATGGTGAGTGGTTACCGTTGCCCATGGACTTCAGCAATGCCAGGGGCAGAGCCAAGCCGCTGCCTACCGCCTAATACTCTCCACAAGCCTCGTTTGAAGAAGGACATGTCATAGCGCTCGGGAAACACCGTGGAGGGGAGCTCATTCCATGGCCGGATGGTACGTGGCAAAAAAGATCTCTGGAAACGCACTGTGGATGACCGCAGTGGCTCCAGGTAGTATGGATGAACTCTACTCCGATGGCGGGCGGTGCGATGGTAAAAACGAGATGCCGGTATCATCTCGAACAATTCCTCAGAGCACCAATCACCTGCCAGATTTTTTTGGTGAACGACTCATCAGTGTGCTTAGTGCGAGTTTTTTAACGTTCTCGATAGCGTAAAAGTTAACTCAAATTTGTATGCAGTTGGAATAGCGCCCCTAGCGGCAAACGTAGGCAAACGCTTCAACTCCATACAAATTTGAGTTAACTTTTGCACTATAGAGAACGTTAAATAGCTCGCACTAAGGAAACCGAACAAAGAGTTAGTTAGTCGTATTTCAATACAACTGTGACTTGAGTGTCGCGTCTTAAGATGAGCTAAGATGGTCAATGAGCTAATGCGCCCACAAACATTGCAGTAAACTATCGCGATTATAATACTCGTATAGTTTGAAGGAGCTAGCCATCATACGACACAAGATATTTGACAGATGCCTGAATCTCGCTTACGACATTTTGAAGATAAGCTCGCATATATACAAGTTTCGAACAACAACATTCGGCCCGTCGGTCTACCG